CATGGCAAAGGGCGCCATTTTCGTGCATGCTAAAACATCTTTTAGCACGAACTTGAATATGGCGCGAAAATTATAACACGTGCTTTTGCTGACTATTACAGGAATGGGTCATTTCTAATGCTGCTCTGTGATTAGTTCATTTACTGATTATTTATGAGTTTCATGGTTTCCTTTGTTCTAGAGTCAAAGAACAATAGCGTTCCTGTTCTGTGATTAGTTAGGAGCCGGTTAGACCCCTATGACTACAATGTCTGTTAATTGTTTTTGATATACTTAATGATGTCATTACAGCCCATAAACTTTCTATGACGCCACTGCTGGTCAGTTGGGGTCTGCTATTTTTAGAATGACGTCATTCAAACAATAGCCGGCCCAACTGACCAGGTATACTACTTTCCTTTATTTTTTGTCAGTAAAGAGGCTTTAAAAGGTATATACTAAAATTGCTATTTTTGTTTTCAAATTCTTAGTCCGTCTCGGCTTCTCCGAGAGTGTTTCAAAGACAAAAACTGATGGATTTTGAAAAGCGCGTAGCAAACAAATGAATGCCTGCACAAAAAATCTGTTCGATTCAGTTTTGTTAGTTAACCTTCGATAGTTCACAGGCTAAATAAAAATATCTCTGATCAAAACACGTGCAAGTTAGAGTGGTTCAAAGAAAACCTATTTTGCAGGCTTAATCCAAACCCTGAAAGTAAGGAAGATTTGAGGGAAAATATCTCAAAAGTTGCGGCCTAAATCTGGTTTAAAAATCATATCAAAGTAAAGTTTTAAGCTTATTTTTTTTGGTTTATAGGCTCATACTTGCGGGTATCTTCTGGAATTGCAACCAACAGTAGATTATAATCTGCGTATTTGCATAATTACTGGCCGTGTCAGATGTCATGATTGTACAGGTTTAAAGTTCCATGAAATTGCTTTTTTTGACGCTTGAATTCGTCTCCGACCTCTAAAAGAAAGTAATTAAGCTTCTTTAAGTACTTTTGAATCGAAAGAGATATATTAACAGGGATGGTCATGCATGTTACTGATTACCACGATCAACTGGCGGGCGCTGTCGTCTTGTAACTACCTGCACTGAACAGTCAACAATGTTTTTAACAGAATTTTCTAGATCAGAAGATGATCCAAGCTCTCTACGTAATGAAAATAAATATCACTACCCCGGGATACAAAACATGTACAAGAAAGGCAACGTAGAATTTTAAGTTCTTTCCGCAATTTCAGATTGAATTTCACCGCGGTGCATAAATTATTGTAATAATCAGGCTATTTTAAAACGTCTGACACACAACAAAAACAATTAGTCATTTACCGTTTTATCTGTTCTCGGTAAATAAGACGCTTACCTTTACTTTAGATTCTTGATGGAAGAAGTCTATTCAGCCAGCTGAAGTTATGCAGTTTCGTTAATTTTCAAAATCAAATCATAGCATAAAGTTTGTCACGTAATGTTATGGTCACGTGGCTACGTAACCCGTTGGCAGCCAAAATCTTTGTGATAAACGGAATTCCTGTTTCTCTCCAGCAAAAAAATGCCCTAATTGAATGAGTTTTTCCTCCTTAAATTGCACAAAATGCATATCACAACGAGGATTTTGTATTGGTAATGGATCATTTTCTACGGCATGGTACCACTGGCCTTATTTTAATAACTTAAAATCCTCCTCACTGATGAACCGTAGGCTGTAGGAGATGGCAATAATAATGTTCAAAGTCAAGTGTAATTTACGCACTAGTTATGTATCCGATATTTTTAGCATGAGCAACAGAAGATAAGAAATGAGAAATGAAAAATTCAGGCAATTTTATGATTCCAAGAATAAACACTACCACCCGTGGGAAATAAAGTATTAGATATATTGGCCCTGTAATATGGTCCAAATGAAATATACGCATTGAGATCTCTTTAACACTTGTTTCTTTTAAGAACCAGGAGGGAATAAAGCATATTTTTTTGTATTGTCTGGATTATGATAAAAAGAAAATTACATAGTCTCTTGAAGATACGAAATTTCTTTTCTTGTGTTCAATATTTGTAATTTTTTAAATGTATTTTTCTGAAATGTTTTTCAACACTCGAGGAGAAATTTCGTACCTCCGCGCGGCCATGTAATATCCTCTATAAATAACAGAACTGCTGCATTATTTTTAAATGCAATTGATGCAAGGACACGTTTTTAAGAGACTGTGTCTGTAAACCGGTCCGATGGATTCGGGGTTCGGAAAAAAGTTTTTCCTTAAATTTGACACAGCAAAACATCTGAGTTTAAAAGCAAACGAAACGACTTTGGATTTGGGAAATATTGTAATAAGCAAGATTTAGGCACTAAAGTTTCGGATGGCGAGACACGAAAATTGCACAATTTGCCGAGCTCGAGTCTCTCTCGTTCGTTTTTTTTTTTTTTTTCAGTTCATCAATCTCGCTATGAGGTTTAACTAACTCTGCGCTCTAAATTGCAATATTTACTTATTCTAAATTGTCAAGTGAAGGGTGCTCATTTCGCTCACTAGCATTAATGAAATTTGCCCAGATGAACAAAATGTCGTGCTTTCTTCAGTCGCGTTCAGTTGTGTGTGGAGATTCAAGAGGTGTGTCAGGGCTATTTTGTTTGCTTGATCATGGTGCCTCGATTGAAAGCCATTTGGCGTCGATCCACTTGTCTCGAGAGAGCTTACCCGAAAAAGACCTCATTTTGACTAGAGCCGGCTTTTTTGATATAGAAGAGTCTGTCATCGAGGCATGTTTGTATGCGCGAAGCATAGACACACAGATGAGAAGAAATGGCGTTTGTAGATTTATTGCCAGTACCCTTCACACCAAGGACAGTCTGGTAGAGGACAGAAGGTAAAAAGCTGGTATTCAATCAACCTGGACATGGCGAAGGCCATTTATCACATGTATGGGGTTCTTGTGCAAGTGGGTGCAGGTGTGTATCTGTCTTCATTCTTAAGCCTCTGAAATGTTCATAGTGATACGAGGTTTTTATAAATTATATCATTTAAAAGAAGAGCTATGAGGGTTTTTCAAAACTAGCTACAGCACTCCCAAGTTATAACTGGTTTTACGCGTATAAGAAGAATATAATATTTTGTCAGTATGTTGCTAATTTAATTACGCGCATCTGATTGTTAAGTACAAATAATTAGATAAAATAGCATACGATCTCTCCTTTGGCACAAATGGCCCATCATTTAAATATATAGTGCCTCTTACTTCATTCACTTCATTATTTAGCCAGTCAAAAAATAATGCCGCCACACCGCGTTGTTCCTCCTTAAAAGGTTAAATAAAGGTTCTGAAACGACCCCAGCTGCAGATTGAGGAGGGTTGATCTTCAAAATGATACCTCGATGATCTTGCTGTCATAGCACTACAACTCACGTCTCAAGCGATTCGAATGCTAAATTCAAACCAAGTATTTCAGAGGGTGATATCCGCTGTAACTTATCAAACAGGTCACATGAGGTTGGTAATATATTATTTTTCAACAGTAATGGAAAGTCCTCAATTACTTTTTTACGCCCACTATCACTCCTATTATACTGCGCTCAAAAATTATTACGATTTTGAGATAACAAATTTGGGCGAACTAGGACTGCCTTTGTTACGGCAACTTAACATTTACAATTTGTTTATTGATAGGTCTTCCAAGCAAGTTGTCGCAGCTCAAATAACTGCCATGTCTTATACACCCACCACTCCCTTTAATCAAAGGCTTGGCTGCTCCCTTGATGAAACATTGACGCCTTCCACCTTCCCTTCACTTAATGAAGGCAGAATCGGATCAACATAACTGTAAGGAGAGATTTTCCATGAATTCTTTGTTTGCCTCGAGTTTCACATATAGCTTTCAAATATTTGCTTTGACGATGTTTTAGTAATTCATACTGAAACTGCATAAAGAGGTTTTAACTCCCCAAAAAGGCTCGTGCCATTTTTATTATCCTTTGTTTCATCTGCTTTGTGTTCGCTAGGTAATAATCATAGAAAAGCCAACAGTTTTCGTTAACAAACAAAAGTAATTATATACATTTTACGTCAATGTTTACTCTTGAAAGAATACTTAATTTCTTAATAATGGTTTATTTGACTTCAGTCTATTTTTCGTGATTTAACTACCAGACGACATCTATTCATAGCAACGCCTTTGATACAGGTGTACCTCGTTCCCATTGCAACTTAGTTATATTTATTTACAAAAGTATATTTCACTAAGTTGTTAGTTAAGGAGAGGTGGTAACCGAGTTTTGAATATGAAAGGTTTTGCTGTCTTGTAATTTTATAATTAGATCGGTTTTTGTTTAAGGTGAAAACTTCCAATGAGTCTGCGCGTTTCCTGTTTAAACAGCCGATAGCTGGACTTGCAATTTAATTCATATTGTAACACTTTGTACATAAACGCTGTTTTGCTGACCTGGCTAGGTCTTTGTCTCAGTACTTTTACTTTCTAAAATAGCAACAGTAAGAAAAGATTCAGGTTAAAAATAGAATTTGTATTTAGTTTTCATTTAACTCTAAGTGATTTCTGTTTATATTTCTATTGTATTATTTTGTCTTCAATGGTTGTAAAAATCATATATAAGTAATTAAAGTTGCTTTGAACTGATTTTTCGATTACATCGTCGATTATTTCGCCGTGTCCTAGCCGAGTTATTGCTGTTTGATCCGCTGAAGAATAAACGCTGTTGGAACCAAGTTTAGTCTGTTTTATCTGCTGCTGTACCAGTTAGTGGACCTTAGTGGTCAGATCCCGGTCCTACGGAGAAGTGAAGGCTCTTCCCCGCAAGCGAGTTGCCATTTGAGTCTAGTTTTCCCCAGTTTTATCGTGAGTCAAGCACCGAGTTCCCATTGAGCCTTAAATTCGTTTCAAAGTGGAAAAACCTTCCGTCACATAACGAAGATCCAAGTACAGGTCTTCAATACATGCATAAACAGCCTTGCTAATTCTATAAAAAAGCCTAGAATAGAACAACTTGACTCCCAGGTAACAAACTGGATGACCAGCCCCAATGCTGAAAAATCAGAGGCTATCAAGAAAGCAGATGAAGTAGGTCAGGTAATGTGTAATCTAATTGCTCCTTCCGATGGAGATAAACTCTTCCAAGCAGTTGTCAGTCAATACAAGGGTGAATCTGGTGACGAAGGTTTGCAAGTCCTCGTAGCTGAAACTCAAATTGTAAGGATTTACGCGAGCAGATTCACGGCAGGGGAGCTTAAAGAAATCCATAGGCCATTTGAAAAAGTCTCTCACAGACAAATAAAGAAGGCAAGAACTCAGGCAAATATTGAAGGTCTTGGCCTAAGTGGAAAGAAAATATTAAAACGCAGAATTCGAATAGACCAACGAAAACTGGACCATTTTCTGGAGTTTACTATGAGACCAGCTAACTACCAGGATGTAACTTACGGCGGTCGCACCATTAAACCTAAGAGTAGCAAGGTTCACTGTTATTAACCAATAGCTTGAGCACTGCCCAGAAAATGGATTTTTGCCGATAACTAAGTCTACCATGTGGCGCGTACCTGACGTCCAAGAAGCTTCACAGAGGAAATCGTTGCGAGGACTAGACAATACGGCAGCCAACCATGAGAGGACACAGAGGCTTTTTACTGGAAGTACCATCACATGCAGGGATGTTTTCTCCGCGGGCAGCTGATCCGACTTAATGCCATTTAATATGTCGCGCTCCTCGAAAGTGCGAAAATTTTCTTGTCGTGTATTAGATTCCATATACATTTTCTTAATCTTCAATTCGCGCCAGAATAAATTAGTTTGCGCGCAAAGGGCTCCTAAAAAAATCACAAAGTTTGTCCCACTTCGAATCCACCTTCTGGAGATACGCTGGCTTGGTAGCTGGAATACATTGCCGAGGCGAAAATCTGGCATTTTTTCCTCCTCGTCGTATATTCTTCACGACAAATGTTTATATTTGTAGTGAGAATGCAGCGCATATCGGTGGATTTTACTTCATGCGGCTTGCTACTTCTGAAAGAAGAGTGCCGGATTTCATCGTTTTGTTCATGTTTATTAGTGTTGGCAAATGTAAGGTAAATAAACCGACCCCTGTAAGGTAAGAATTGAAGGTTTAAATTTGTTACTCAGCGAAAAATCGTGGAATTGGCATTCGTGAAACTCGTGAGTATTACCTCTGTTACCTAATGTCATGCGATGACAAGCGATAAATTTCTTTCGCAAAGTGAAGTATAATTTACGTAAGGAGACCATTTGACGAATATTTCTCGTTATATGCTTTATTCATATTTGCTTGGCTTATTCAGGCTACATGCCAGGAGTTTGATGACAATGTTTTTGTGCTATAATTATGCTATAATTATGCTTTGTGCTATAATTATGCTGATTTTAATTATGAAGTTTTTGCACCTTTATATTGAAACTCATGTAAGCCAAACGTTTATTAACTCTAGCAAAACACTCCTCTATTATGGAGGAACGTTTAACGTCTTTCGGGGCCCTAATATGGTGTCAAATTTTTAGGGGAAACAGTGTAACGCAGTGATTCTTTAGGTAGAGCTAACAAACATAGGCTGCACTTTAGGTGGCACACCCATGGGTGCAGTGTAACCCCAGTGATTCTTTAGGCAGAGCTTACAAACATAGACTGTACAGGTGTACATCAGATGGTACGTAGTTACTAAAACCCGGAACGACCCACAATGACCCACAACGATCCACAACGATCCACAACGATCCACAACGACCCACAACGATCCACAACGATCCCACAACGATCCACAACGATCATCAAAAATTGAAAAGCATACTGAATAGCAAACATAACGACTCACAACTACCCAGAATACCTTTGATAGTCCGGTGACACATTCATAAGGTTGTCAAAAACAGGACAAAATAAATGAGCAAATGCAGCTTTTCACGAGAAAGAATCTCCATTCAGAGACACATTTGTAAGTACGATCGATGTCTCTTCGGCCGGCCATCGAATAAAGATTTGTATAAGTCACATGAAAAGTTTCATCAGCTTTGTTCTCCGTAAACATCCATCTACTTTCGTGCCGCGACGCGCTATACTTTCTTGCTGATTTCTGCGCAAACAAAGCAAACTGGGATTGCAGTGTTATGACAATGACCATCAAGACGACAGAGATCTCATGTATATATCTACCACGAGTTCCATTGTACGTAATTGTTTCCCTTTACAGGCAGAGACCTCATGTATATACCCACCACGAGTCCCCTGTACGTAATTGAATGGTACGTTGGCCTTGGTTCTTTATCAGAATAACCTTTAATTGTGGTGATAGCTCGGGAGAACTTAGGATTGCTCTTACTTGTGTGGTACTCCCGTTTCAACTCATATATTTCGTTTGCTGGAACGATTTTTTTCCTGAGCTTTCCTGTAACCTTTAGAGTCTCGTATATTGACATACCATACGCCATTTCCATCTTTGTGGGATGTGCGCGACCCCTCCTCATTGTACATATAGAACTTTGTAACACTGCCTTTGGAAATATATGCTCCATTGTCATCAGCTTTGGCGGATGATATTGGAATTTCTCTCATATCCAGTGTGAACATTTTATTTTCGCGTATTCCAGAGGGTTTCTGTTTTAAGTTGAAATCTTCCGGATTTTGTAGAAGGATGTTGATCAGACTTTGGTGATCACCTTCCACACTATTTTCAGTATTTTGATTGTTCATTGTCGGCTTTGTTTCTTCTCTCTCGCTATGTAAAGATAGACAATAAATTCTATTTCAAAAACAGGTTTGATTATACCTTTTCTGAGTGGCAACCAACGAGCAGTTAGAGCCAAGAGCCTACCAGAAACATTTCTAGGCTCCTTGTAATGTTTAAAGACTATCTAAAGAGATGTTTTTATCACATGGACGAATTTGATCTGTTCGGATATCTTAGCTAAAACATTAAGTGTTCGAAAAATTTAGGGAATGATACCCTTATTTCAGAAATTGCTAGCTGCAAGGCACATTCTAGAAACTTCCCAAACGAACCATTTTCTCTTCCGAAATTGCTAGGTGTCCTTTTTGAGACCCAAAAATTGCAAATATATCATTTCCGGAAACGTAAGGGACCACTTTTGCCTTGTTGCGAGTCTTTTAGGTGATGTTTTAGGGGATGAAAATCTATTCAGATTCCCGATTCGAAAATGCGAGGGCCTGTGTGTTCGATTATTCAAAAAGTCTAGCTCACCTTGCTTCCAAACTGATTTTTACCGAAAATAATCGCTGGGTGCCCCTGCTTTTATCTAACAACAAAAAGCTGTCCGATTTGATTATTACAAAACTTGAGGATTTCCCTTTAAATCTTGCGCTTCTCAATAAGCGCTTCTGCACATTTACATGTTGCTGCCAAATTGTAACTTTGGCCGGGGCACAGAATGTTGATCGTTAAATCAGTTATATCGTTAAATTGACAATCGTACCATCGGCGTTCCACTGTAAGTGAATACTGAAGGGAAGCGATAGACCAGTTGCCATAATAATTATAGTCACGAGAACAAGATGGGACGTCGAAAGGAAGCTGTGGCTTACTATCAGAATCTTTACAATCCTAAGGTAAGATATAACAGAATAACTGCTTTTCAAAAAGATCTTTCTTTTTCACCAAGTACTGAGTATTGAAAAGGTCCGAGATAGGGCAAGAAGGGTTCTATCAAGGGTATTTGAGGGGTAAAAGCTCCCCAAAATGTCCAGCTTCCCCCCCCCCCAAAATATCGGAGCTAAGTGTAACATTGTCAGAACGTGATCACGACTAAAAAAATAAAATAAAATACCACTGTAACATTTCTCAAAATTGGGCCTCAAAATGCACCAGATTGCATCTCATCTCTAATCTACATACGATGGTTTGAATTGGTAGCTAGAATTCTTCGATTTCATAATTTTTACAAAAAATACCAGACTTCCGGTCATTTAATGTTTTTAACACCTTGACCGTTTACCGCCCATATCTACACAGCGCATAACTCGAGTGAGCAAAGCAAAATAGCAACCATATTTTGTTTGGTATAAACAGTTGTTGATGGTCCTCCAAAGATTTCATGCCGCCAGCACGAGCGACCGCGAGAAAAAGCCTCTGGTACAGAGCGGTTTCATTCACAACAAGCATCTCTCACTGCGATCAAATGGACCAGTACGTGAAGACATGACAGATCTGGTTTCAATTACATTCGGGGGAAAAATGACAGATCTGGTGAACGCAAATGCTACAAAAATAAAATGACCTAAAACCAAGTACAACAACCTACAACCAGCTTGAGAATACTATTTTTATGATGTTGAGGCATTTTAGTGAAAATTTTTGCTCACCCGTTAGGGACTTTGATAAATGCACATGCCACCGGAAATGTTGTCTTTTACTTCCCGGGCTCCCATCAAAAGCAAAACCAATACCCCTGAAAAATAAGTCATTGTCTGCGACATGGGCCGGTCAAAAACTAAAGAAATTGCGAAGATAGCCCCGTCAGGCTTGAAGTTTGTGTTCTCACGTGACTCATAAGCCCAGCAAATTCGTATCACAATGGCTGACATGACCAGGAAAAAAACACGAACAAAATGGTTTACAAAGGAGCAGTGCCAAGATTCCTGAGGTTTTTCGAGTAATACACAGACTGCGTTTTAATTTCGAGGTCAGTGTTTTCAAGGTCTACTATTCTGAGGTCTGTCTGAGGTCAAAGGAACCCAGGAATATTGATAAGGTTGCGTAATATAACCTTTGGACCTTTTTTTTTTTAAAATACGTCTTGGGAGAATTTCCCTACAAATAAAGTCTTACCTCGAAAAAACGGCAGGGCTTTCCTCCAGCTTTAGTGGCCTTGATGACGATAAATACTTTGGAAGATCTACAAACAATATGGAAATACGATAAAGGGAAAGTGTGTTCACAAGTATGCGAGATTAATGCATCCGCCGGGTTAGGCCATACGTATGTTGAACTGAACTGGGATTTTACTGAGCAATACCTATACAAATCTATATCTATACACATCTATGACCTATTTTTATTCTAAGGATCGCTTTCGAACAGTCTCTATGCTTTCTCATTGCGAGCCACACACAAACTGAAAAAACAAACCGTATCAACGGTCTGTACACGTTTTGCAAAGTATGAACCAGAGCGGATAAAAGTAGGGCGGTGAAACGAGCGCGTCCGAGCAAAAAGGTGTGATGCAGTGGACTGGGACTATGTTTAGAAATGTTGCTTGTCTTCGACTTCGGTCGGGGCTTGCGATGTGGTTTGTACATAAGACACTGCCGCTGTCACTGAATTATGGCGCCTTGATTTGTTTTCTTGCACTTCTTCCTCGTTCCTTTGTGC